TTGGCTAGTCCTGCGGGTGGGGCCCCGTCTGGTATAGAATCTCTCCTGGAACCCTGATGACCCGCTGGAAGGCATGCCCAACAGGAGAAAACCCCTGGATATTGGGATGTCTCAACAAGTGGCCTAGAGAGGAGGCGGAGCTATCCGGGAGGCAGTCCCGCCAAAGAGGCCAACAGGTGTGCACTGGGACCGGGATTCAAGAAACTGGGAAGACCGACCCGTGTGGGGAATTCCCCTGGGAGAACTCTGGGACAGAGAGAAGGAGGGGAGGTGCAGAGATCTGTGTGAGGCCCGGGAGCGCAAGAAGGGACCCCGGCTAGCATTGAATGGGGGTAGATGTGTTGCCGACCAGGCGCCCAGGGCAGGGTGAGGAGGACAAGAGTGCTCCTGGGGTAGGAGCCTGTTGCAAGCAGGGGTTAAAGATCGGAGTAGAGGTAGGCCTTCTCGCACTCCTTCCTCTTTTTTTTTTTTTTTTTTTAAAAGGACAAGCGCCTGAGGGCGACTGCATTATCGAGAACGACGGAACGAACCTCTCCCGGATCCCCGGGAGGGCTTCCTGGAAGGATTACCTCCGGACCCATCCGGCTCCGCTCGGTAGGGAGATCTATAGGGAGAGGATCGGTAGTATCTGGCAAAGGAGGAGGAATGAGAAGAACCCTGGCGAGGAGAGGGAGGGGAGCCTCTGAAGTCAGACCTCCTAGAGAGGGAAGGGAGGTACTTGCGCTTGTTCCGGGTCTCGGCCAGGAATGGGTCGAGAACCGGTCCAAATAACTTCCCCCCAGAGATGGGGGCTGTTGCTAGCTTAGTCTTGTTTTTAACGTCCGCTTGCCAGTGGCGGAGCCAGAGTAGACGGCGGGCGGTAACCTGGGACGAAATGGCCCTGGTGGAGAACTTTGCCGCCTGGAAGGTGGCGTCTGCCGAAAACTCGGCCGCGGCCAGGATCTTGGCAATGTCCTGGTGCGCCCTGAGATTGGCTGTGGGGACATGCTGCTGGAGCTGCTGGAGCCACTTGATGGAAGACCTGGTGAAAAACGACGCGGCAGTGGAAGCCCTGACTGCCCAAGCGTCAGAGAGGTGAGCGCGGCACAGGGCCAGTTCAGCTCGCTTGTCCTCGGGCTGGAGAGCATCGAGTGAGTCGCTGGGAGTAGAGCGGGAAACCAGGCCTACCACGGGCTCGTCCACGGGGAGGGGATCGAGCAAGGTGGAGAACTGCGGTTCCAGGTTAAAAAACCGCTTGTCCTGGGCGTTGGGGGGGGGGGGGGGGCCCCGAGGAGGCCAGCTGCCTAGAAACCATGTCTGAGAATATGGGCGGGACAGGGATCACCTCAGTTTCCGCCACGGGCTGAGAGAAGAGAGAGTCGGGAGGAACCCCTGCCGCCGCCGGGTTGGGTGGGGGAGGGGGGTTCAGGCCCGAGGTGGTCCTGGCTTTGAACAGGAGGGACCTAAATAGGTGCGGTTTAAAGAGCCCTAGAAACGCGGGCTGACCTGGAGGGAGGCCCTCGTCCTCCGACATGTCCCCTTCTAGGGGACCTGTTCCCGAAAAGAGTTCACTGCCTATGAGGGACCTCATGTCAAGGTCCTGCTCGTCCCCAAAGAGGGAAGGGTCCCCGGGTTCTTGGGCCTCCATTCCCTCCAACTCCAAAGGTAAGGTTAAGTCCTCTTGGGGAGTTGCTTGACCATGCGAGGCCGCTGATCCTAGGGCCTCGGGGGCCGCGGGCCGAGGAGCCAGGCCGGCCAGCTGCTGCATCTGTTGTGCTACCCTTTGCCGGATGGCCAGCTCCATAGCCTGCATTAGGTTTTCGGGTATTTCCGCCATGGGGAGAGACTCCTCCGGGCGCAGTTCTACAGCAGTGGTGGGCAAGGTGACCTCAGGGGCCTGTCCAGGCTGTGGGGAAGAAGCAGAAGCAGGAGGGGAGGGGAGAGGAGGATGGGTGGAGGTTGATGGAACGGAAGGGTCCCGGGGCACAGAGCTTGACTCCTGAGAGCGTCTGTCAATTTCCCTTTCGAGGGCCCTGTGTCGCCTGAGGGCATCCCTTTGGGAAGCTTTGGATGGTTCCTGTGCCTGTTTGCGCAGGTGGTGGGATTTGGCCTTGGCCTTCAGAGAAGTGCCACGAGAGGTATTGTCGTCTGCCATCTGGAGAGGAGAGAAAAAAAGGAAAAAATTTTTTTGGTTAATGCGAGGCGGTTAACGGGTCTGGGTACAGCCAAAGCAGAGGCTGGAACTCCCAGTGCTCGTGTTGCACCCCCTTTTTTGGCAAGGCCACAGAATTGTTCTGTAACGTGTTGGGAAGTAGGGCCTAGCCCGGGGGCCAATCAGCCAGAATAAACGCCAAGCTGTCCCTGCCGGGCGAACCGGGGAAGGGACATGGCAAGCAACTAACTCCTTAGTTGGGGGGAGACTTAGGCAGGATTGCAAGGTATTTGAGCAGTCCCAGGATCTGCCCAGGAGTCAGGAAAACAATGCGGCCTACTGGTAGGCCTCTGAAAAGAAAAAAAACCATGACCCTGAGGCCGCAGGCAGAAGGGAATAATGTAAGCTGAAACCAGGTCTGGATGCGGCCTACGGGAGGCCGGGAATCCCAACGCACGTTCCACGCCCCCCTTTTAGTCAAAAAATTTTTTTCTGTTTAAAATAGAGGTTTGGTACGAACCAGGGCCTAGCCCAGAGACCAATCAGCCAGAAAGGTGAACGCCAGGCAGCTACCCCTGCCGGACGGACCGGGGAAGGGGTGGGGGGGGGG